GAGGCAGAGGTGAACTGAAGATACTCGGTTTATTATGGGAAAATAAGAAGAACAGAAAACTAACTGAACTGGGAAAACAAATAAACTAACAGGCAAGCAAGCAAACGGAACACACAGCAAGAACAAGGGTGAGCAGACATTAACTAAACAACAGAGAGTGAAGGAAAACACAGGGCTTATATACACTGGAGAGTAATCAGGGAATGGGAAACAGGAGGCAGACACAGCTGGGAGAAATTAGACTAACGAGACAGGGGAGAAGTAAAACTGAACACACTGCCATCAGACTGGGACTATCAAAATAAAACAGAAAACACGAAACAAATCACAAAGACGCAGACTTGACACTGAGAGGCAGACTGAAAGAATATAACACATGGAACCCAGGGACGACAGAGACTTAAAGAGGAATTGACATCAAACTAAACTCATGACCAGAACCAAACTGAAACATCGATTTATAATACTCATCAAAACAGGAAAGCTAAAGAATCAGACATAAACATCAAAACATAAGAAACAGAAAATGCTAGGTCAAAATGACCCAGAACCGTGACAGAAATGACCACAATCTGCATATCAACTGAAGTCAACCTGAGACTTGAGTTTTCATAAAGTCAAAAAAAATGAGCTAAATCCTACAGAAGAGTAACTCCAAAAACCAACTTAAAGGGTCTTAAATGCTGAAATCTGAGGAGACTCTTGTGATCACTGAGAACTCTACAGGATATTCTTCAGGAAATAAGAAAAGCAAAACATTTCCCAACAGCTGACATATCTTCAAAGTGTGTGGGGTTCACCACCACAACCATAACTGTAATCTCACATCCTGACCAACAGCATTTTTCCCTGATCGGGAATTTCTAGAAAGCGTGTGTGAGTGTGTGAACAGGAAAGACTGAACTTTCTCTTTGTGGTCTGTGTAAGCAACAAAGCCCTCAACCATGCTCTGGTTTAAATGACTGACACAGGAGGAATTTATTGAGATAATGTGAAATAAATCACATGACTCGGGTGTTTTTCCACAGAATTCCCCGTCGTTGC